CCACCTCCACTTTCGCTCTCGAATTTCTGGTGCTATCGGCTTCTGATGACATCGACGATGGAGCTTGGCATTCGAGATCCAGTTGTGAGGCCACCAGGTACGATTTATATACCGCAGGCATCGGTTGACCTGCAGCTTTTGAGTGTTCTCCGCTGATACACACCACGTCTCACTGGCGTATAACAACACAGATTTCGCGTTCGAGTTGAAAATTCGGATTTTGGTGCGTTGACTTATCTGGTTGGATCTCCATACGTTTCGTAAACTCGCAAAGGCAGCCCTAGCCTTCTTGATTCGTGCACCTATGTCGCTCTTGGTCCCGCCGTCCGACGCTATTTAGCTGCCAAGATATTGGAAACTTTCGACCTTCTCCACTGCTTGCCCCGCTACCGTAAAGTTGGAAGGGTTGCCCGTGTTGATATGCAACGATTTGGTCTTGTTGACGTTGATGGTGAGACCCGCCGCAGAGGAGCGTTCGGCTAGGTCATTGAGCTTACTCTGCATATCAGAGCGCCGTTGTGCTAGTAGTAGAGCAACATCATCAGCCAAATCGAAGTCGTTGAGATGCTCCATGGTGATAGGCTGCCAAAGCAGCCCACGGTTCGGTACACGGTCAATTGCACCTACCATGATCTCGTCGATTACGATGAGAAACAGTAGCGGTGATAGTATACATCCTTGTCTCACACCAGCGACTACCCGGATAGAGTCGGAAAAGGCTCCGTTATGCAGAACTCTGCACGTGAAAGCCTCATACTGCGCTTCGATGAGGTTGACGATTTTATCCGGGACTCCCTTGCGTCTCAGGGCGCCCCACAGATTCTCGTGATTGAGACGGTCGAAAGCTTTTTCGTAGTCAATGAATACCAAGTAAGGGGACTCTTAGAATTCATTGAATTGCTCCAGGATGATGCGGAGCGTGACAATATGGTCCACACAAGATCTTCCGGCACGGAATCCTGTCTGCTGCCGTCGGAGAGTCGCGTCGATCTTCTCCTGTATCCGATTCAGGATAACTTTGCACAGAACTTTGAGAACAATACACAGTAACATGATGCCTCGCCAATTGTCGCACACAGTCAGATCCCCCTTCTTTGGGACCTTCACTAAGATGCCCTGCATCCAGTTGGGCGGAAAAGTCGCGGTGTCTCAGATATTACAGAATAGTTGATGCAACATTTGTGCGGATAGCATGGGGTCAGCTTTGAGCATCTCTGCTGATATCCGATCGACCCCTGGAGCCTTGTTGGATTTCATGCTTCGGATAGCTGCTTCAATCTCCTGCAGTCATGGGGCCTCGGAATTGATACGAGTGATGCGCCGCACTCTAGGCGGATCATGCCAAGATGTTGATGGCTGGTTGGCCGTCGAAACTTGAGGAAGTTGTTCGAAGTGCTCATACCAGCGTTTCAGCTGGTCAGTGGGGTCGGTAAGCAATTGTCCAGTCGTGTCCTTCACTGGCATCCTCGGGTTCATCCTTGCTCCACTCAGGCGTCGTTAGATATCGTAGAGGAGGCGTATATCGCCAGTGTTTGCGGCTTTCTCCCCTTCGTCGGCCAGGGAGTTCACCCACACTCGCTTGTCCCGTCTGCAAGAGCGCTTAACTTCCTTCTCTAGAACTGAGTACCGTTGACGGGCTTCGTTCTTGGCTCCTCTGGTTCTCGCCCGCTCTATCGCGGCTTTTGCTTCTCTACGCTCCTCAATCTTCCGCCAGGTTTCATCTGTGATCCACTCTTTCCTCAGGGTGCGCAGCTCACGCTTGTTTCTATAAAGGCATTCTTGATGGCCGTCCATTGTTCTTCTACGCTGCCACCTTCTGGAACGTCCGCAGCTCGAGTATCAAGTTCTTCAACAAAAGACCTTTTTACCGCTGGATCTTCAAGTCGGCGTGTGTTGAACCGCCGCCCGAGTCTCTCCTCCCGTCGCTGGATCCGCGCCATGCGTAAGCGGATTTCGCCGATTAGAAGGTGATGGTTGTCGGCGCTGCGTTTATTCCGGACATCAAGACTCCATTTTCGGCTGATGCAGATGTGGTCGATCTGATTTTCGGTATGTCCATCACGGGAAACCCACGTGACTTAGTGCACTGGGCGATGGGGGAAGAGCGAGCCCCCGATCACCATGTCGTTATTACCACAAAATTCTGCAAACAGCTCACCGTTCCCGCTCATTTCGCCGAGACCATGGCGTCCCATGACACGCTCATAGTCCGTGTTTTCAGAGCCGATCTTCGCATTGAAGTCGCCAGTGTAGATCTTGATGTCACCCTTTGGAACCTTATCCACGACGGTATTCAGTTGACTGTAAAAATTCTCCTTGTCCTGTAGCTCGGCAGCATCGGTTGGCGCATAACATTGGATTATGGTAAGGTTACGAACCCGTGTTCTAAATCTGGCAACGATTATCCTCTCATTAACAGGCTCCCACTTGATGAGTGCAACACTTGCCTGGACGCTAAGTAGGAGACCAACTCCATGATGGCGGGGAGCGTTTTCACCTCGAATATCAGAGTATAGTAGTACCTGTCCCGACGGCAGTTTGTGTTCTCCAAAGTTTGGCCAACGAACTTCACTCAGTCCCAGGATTTCTAGCTTCATGCGTCGCGCCTCGTTGGCGAGTTGTGCCAGTTTACCCTGCTGGGCTAACGTCAATACATTCCATGATCCAATTCGTGTCCGTTGTTTTGCTGATTTGCTAAAAGTCGTTGCCGTTAAATCAGTTCGATGTCTTTCTCTGTTGGTTTCTGTAACAATTGTAAAGGTTTCAGAGACAGTAGGTGGTTGGCCTAAAGTCTCCTATCCGCCGTGATGGGGCTGCCATCTTAGGTGTAGCTTCCGGGGAAGAGCATTTCTTATTCAGCCGCTGGATGCCAGTCAGACGCTGTTTTAGCCGCACCTCCATGGTGAACAGACGCTCGGGTTGGCGAAGCATTTCCTCTATCACCGTGCTATGGTTACCGCGCCAGTGTTCGCGTCGCACCTCCTCACTCTGCTATTGTCGGATTGACAACATTGCCCAGGCTACGCCAACCAGCTGTGTCCATGTTTCAGCTGGCAGTCTTTTGTGATCATATGACTCGTGCAGGCGTGAGGTAGGAACCTGTGAGGACCGGAGCTAGGTATATCGCTCCTTCCAGATTGTCACTCATCATTTTGTAGCCCAATCCTCGTAAAAATCTTCGTACGGAGTACACAAAAGGAATGATTTATGATGAAATAGGCTCACATTAATTACCGGAAGTTATAAAATGCTACGTGTAAAAGAGTTAAAACCTGATAGTGAATTTGTTTTGCTATTTATTTTGACAGTTACAGAGTAATTCGGAACATAACAAAAAACTAGTGTGCATAGAGGTTCCTAAAAAGTTTGTTAAAAACTGCTAAAAATTCAAACAGTGACGGTTTTACCCGGATTTACCCTACCCGCCTATAGAAGGAGCAGTGAATGGAAACAATACCATGTGAGCTTCGGTGATTTTGAATCAAAATTCTGACATAATAGGATATGGTGAAGGGGTGACCTTTCGGTTGTTAACGAACGATGCTATCTGGGTGGTGGTTCAAAGTTTGATTTGCACCCACTTGATGTGAACCTTACGTAACGCCCCGCTACTCGTTCCAGAATGCTCCACTGACGACCGCCGCTGTTGATGAGTAATCAGCAAAAATCACAGCAAGGTGTGCCTAGAATCTGAAATTGCGCACCACATTTCAGAAAATGCGGATTAGCGCTTCTTTAATCAATCCCACACTACTAGTCAGTGTTCGCTCGACGTGCCGCGCCGACATGCCTCCCGGATCGAATTTCACTCGCTCCAAAACTATCTCTCTAAATGCCACCATAAACCACACATATTAGCCGGCAATGCACAGTTTTTGGTAAATCTCCATCCCACCTGGATCATCTTCTCCATTAGAGCTTTCCCAAAATGGTAGCCCGCTCGCGTTCCGCGTCGACCCGCAGCGCTGGATGGAGCTCGCTATCTCGAAAGCATTTTAGCACTTCCTCCTCATAATATCGTGCTTTACGATTTGCTGCTATGGCTTTGGATAGCTCACCATGCGGCGGTTTGTGGCGTGTGGATAATTATTTTCTTCCCAAATTCAAACTAATCATAAATCATGCCCGTCCGTTGCCACCGCCGCCAGCGGTGTCGGTCCGTTCTTTTGGTGCTGTATTGTGACGGCGGGTGGTAATTTCCCAAATCATCATTCAAATTTGACTTTTCACGCTCGCTTGCTTGCTGCTCGGTGGCACTCTCGTGATGCATCCGTATCTTTTTGTCGTAGAATTTCCATCATCTGTTTCGTTTGTTTAATCCCTTGGACGACGCGACGCCAAGAAACAGGATTGTCATCATTATCTCATCGGCAATAATTTACACAAACAAATGGCATGCACCAAGCGAAACGACAATGTTTATAAGGTAACAACCGGGATCGGGAATGTCGCACTGTCAAAGTCACCTTACTGGAGTGTGTGAATTTTCGGATATAAGGTTACCAGTTCGTATAATAGCATTTACATTTCCAGGTAACCTGAAAAAAAAACCTGGAAATTCTGGAAATATCACGGAATTCATTTTTGGACCTGGAAAATCAGGGAATCTCAGTGCATTCAATCCAAATTCAGAGAAATATTTCTTTGTAAAAGGAACTTATTAGTATGTATGACTGTCTTCGCTAGTTTCAAACGACTTAATTGCTCGGTGTAGTTTGAGTATGGTTTTTCACTTCAAATTTTAAGTAGAGTTAGTTATCCTCTGATCGAATGAAATCTCAGGCCATTCAAAACGAAACATCAAAATCGCTTTTTCGAATGATAGCTGCAATCGGATGACGGTTGTTTTGAAATCAGATGATTTTCCTCTCGAATACAGGATGAAAATTGTTATGAGAAGGATTGTCATACTAAATGGAAATGTATATGGTATTGGTTCAGCCCCATAACGGAAATCATTCAAAACGATGACGTAAATAATTGATTGATTTCTTTCTTTATTATTCCAACACCCGCAGAGCAGTGTGAACGTTAATCATCGAATCGTGCGGGGTCAGCACGAACACCTCCTGCAACTTGTTCATCCACGTATCGGCAGTTTCCCAAGCTCCGTTCCGAGCACACCAGAGCCACAAATCAGCATACAAACGCGTCACCGCATAAGCATCCCGTTGATAGCCCAAAGCTTCACAGTTCTTCAAAAAGAAACTTTCGCACTCCTTATACGTCTCGATACAGCAGCTCGTATCCAGCATAATGTCCATTGCAATCGAATAATACCAAGCCTTGGCTGAGGTGTCCTGATAGCGATCGGTCAGTGCCTGGAAGTCCCATAGCATACTGACGGCGTCGGAAATCCTCCGATGTGACATCAACAGCTCGGCCAAGATCGGAATGATGTGCCATTCGCTGGTCTTAAATTGCAAGGTATCGGTGATCTTCAGAACAACTCGACCGAACTCGATCGAAAGCTGCTTCGTGGATCGAATGGTTCTGAGAGATGTGCGTACTTGTTAGTTGGATTTGTTAGTGGCAAATTAATATGAATAAAAACTTACTGGCACATGAGCAAAGCGGTGTAGTATTGGACGACCGATTTCATGTAATCTATATTGATTCGGTCGACATTGTCTGCTATAATTTCCAGTGATCGTTCCTGCATCCAAGCAATGTCATTGGAAAATCCCATGTGGAAGGCTATAATACGTATAAGTCGGTAGTCAGCTTACTATGTTCATTTTTACAAGAATCAAACCACTCACCGATCTGAAACACACTAGCGAAGGCCTCAACCAGCACCGATGCATTTCGACGGTATTTGAGGGCATGCTTTAGGCTCCATATGGCAGCCAATTGGGCAAGCTTCCACTGGGTTAGACGACGAAACAGGTGAAACATTCCATCGAAACAGGACGACAACTGGGATGCAATTAGAACGTAATATAGTGGTTATACATTTTTTATGCTTTTGTCCTACGGCTCATATTAATACTTACGTTGACTTCGGAAACGGCATTCCCATCACTTCCGATGCGGTATAGAAATATTCCGTAGCAATAGTGTACTGCTTCAACTCGAGACGATGCAACTGCAACTTGGTCTCTGAGACGATGTAAATAATCCTATCGAACGTCATTTGCTGATCTGAGCTGACAAACGAGGTGGAAGCATTGCTATCGCTATTAGAGCTGTTACGAACATAGGTAAAGGGTAAAAACCAATGTTTGGCTAATTCGTGGTGGAGGATGTTTCCTCTACCACCGAAGAATTGTTGTAACCATAATGGAATGGCTGATTATGGCTATTCAGTATGGAAATTTAGATAATCAAATTAAAAATATAATTAAAAGCTCTTGCATGTCACACTATTCTTAAATGTTTGTCCTCTGAGTGCCGTATGTTTTATAGCCAATTTTCAAACGTTCTCATATGGATGTTCATCATCTGACGACGAGTTGAACCATAAGAAAGTCATCCGAAATTCGAATTCATATTGTTAAAGGGCTCGAGTAATGCAATAATCATTCAAAGTGTTGCGAATGTTTTGGTTCAGTGGACGTGCAAACTAATAATTGTGTAAATTTTGCTCATTTCTTGGAACCGAAATGACTGTGATAGGAACCGAAATGACTGCGAAACTCGAGAGACGAGAGTGAAACACGACTACACTGAACCAAAACACCCGCCGTCTACTGAATGATTTTTGCCTCACCCAAGCCCCATGCTTATAATCAGATGATTTTAAGAAGATCCGTCATTCAATTCATATTTTGACAGAATCAAGTCAAATGTATGAATATAATTTAAAATCAGCGTTATAATCATACATCAATCAAATCAAAATAGATCTAGCTGTGAATGATTTGCATACATAAACTTTTCAACTCATCAGTCTTGTAATGGAAAAAAAATCAGATCGTATTTAAATGATGCCCATATCTATGTAGTTGGCTTAATAGAATTAATATTAAAATTATTGAAATAAATAATTACACAACCATGTCAATCAGTTATAAGCATTACTCAGTAAAAATGTTGTTAATTTGATAATAAGTACGAAAAGAATTGGCCACTAATCAATAAAATTGAAAAAAATGCTTCTTTTCTACTGTTGAGATTACATGAGTCATCTCTAATGAAATGGTTGTATAATTGAATGTTTCTATAATATTTAAATACTTGCGCAGTCACAATGCTGTTTGTTCGCCACCATTTGCTAACTGATATGATGAATAACACAAAGATGACGATAAACCTGAAATAGAATGATTTTCATAAAGGGGCTATGGAGAAATATATTCATTTTGGTTCATGATGAAAAACATATGCTTAATGTGCCTGTTAATATGTGACTGATTATCGGATGACATAGAAAAAATATTGTTTTTAAATGTAAACAAACATAACTTATTGCTGATCATAAAATCATTCGACTTGATTGGCATTCAATCTTAGGAATCATTAGTTTTGCTCGACGCCGAATGAGATTTCATTCAACGGGTGGCAGGTGTTTTTGTTCAGTGTAGTACGTTTGAGTACAAGAGAACAACTCTAGAGTAACATTTGAAATGGTCCAAAACGTAAACCAACCAGAAAATGAATTTTATTTTTTCCGCCACTATTCAATTCATATTTAAGAAAATTGAAGTGTTTTAGGCATTTATATTGTTCACAATAACAAACATCCAAAAATGCGAAAAGCTTTCAAAAATATATGAAAATCGATAACAATTTAATTTCATAAATTAATAAGCCTTTTGTGAATCTTTCAATGGATAGGCCCTTTTTTGTTAAGCCGTTGTGCTTTTCACCAGAAATGGTACGCCCTTTGCTAAGCCTTTTCGCAACGTCAAATAAATTCAAAACAAATCATCGGCTCTGCCTCAGGCTTTGGTTTGAAAATTTCAATCATCGGCCCTTCTACGTTACTAGGCTTAACAACGATATTAAATAAATTAATGGTTGGCCGTTTTAGCGTAATGAATCGAAAAATTTCGTTGATCGGCCGTTTCGAAAATCGAGTTATTTTTCATGATTTTTCTCGATTATGCGGAACTTTCCTACACGATTAGTACCTATCAAGTGGTGCTAAATAATGGTATCAAAACTCGATTTGTTTGCGTTTTGGACATGAGTCCATTTCAAATGTTACTCGAGAACTGTTTATTTACGTTTAATCACACGGTTATCTGAAACCCCTCATTTGTATGTTTGTTCTTACACAATGGATAGTTTACAGATACACCAGCGAAGATCAATTAAACAGAGTAGGCTGGGCCGGTGTGACCGAACATGACGTTTGTTTTTTTTTTCTCGGAGTTTTTATGCTTATTTGGTTATTAATCCGGTTAACATTTTCGACGATTGGACACTTCAAATTGGTTCTACATAAGACGGGACTAGATTATGTCAATTCTTGATTGGAAATACAATGCAACAATAGCACGGATACTTCCTGTGGATTCATTTGGGCTAACTTGGTAAGATCTGAGTATCTGATTTTATCTATTAAAAACTAAATTTACATGATTCTCTTAAATTTGGCAAATTCTTAATGAAGTTTTCTCCACACATCCCATTTTCCGTGTATTTGAAATCATCATTGAACGCCAAATGTCTGCACATTTTTGAACATGTGGTGGAACATTACTGTAATTCATATATATTAAAACATTATATTATATACTGGGTTGGGGGTGCAGCCTAAGGGAATCAAAGGATTTGTTAACTGGACGAGGGTTCGTGGATTTGCCAGTCCCTTGTCACGTGATTACAGATGGCCATCTGGTCGTTTTGTCTTCCAAAGGTCTTCAATGAAGCTGATTCACCCTGCTGCAACAAAACCATCAGGCAGAACTTTACAACCGGTAAAGTATTTGCAGACATTGGTAATCCTTACACTGATGGTGGGTTCCATTCACATCACATCATATCAAATTTTAAGGAGAGTTAGTTAGGTAGGTTGCGATTCTACACGTTGTAGTTCCATTTTTATACTGTGATCGTGACATTTTAACCTAGGGGATGAGTACTTAAGGGTATTTTCATAAATTCTGGGAATGACACTGATGAATACTGCACATTGTACTCGAAATACTTATGGATACCAAAATTAATTAACTTGAATTAAATGGAAGATAACCTGTTTTAGATGGATTGGTGGTTTTCACGAGTGTTCCCCATTAGACATAAATACGTTAGGCATACGGACGTTAAGCATAAAGTCATTAGGCATAAAATACCTTGCTGCTGTGCAACTCTAGAAACCTGTTTCGAGCATGGTAAACAATGCTTAAATCAGGCTAAGCGTTGAATAAAAAATTATATAAGTTAAACAAACATAGTTTATTTACTAAGCACAGTTTGGAATCCATTTCCATTTTCATCCAATAACAAAAAAACATACCTGCTGCTTCCAGGATTTCCTGCCATACTTTTCGATACAACGATTCTGTTTTTGTTGTCATCAGAATGAAAACTAGCGGAACCGTCTGCTGATGTGAGGGAGCGATACTTCCATGAACAGTGACGAGTTGCCGAAACAAACAAGGAACTGTGGCAAACGTACCATCTGTAACCCAATACTTTGCCTGTCCAAGACGTCGCTAGTTTCCTTGAGTTCCTAAAACTAAGGCTCTTTCATTATTGTCACCGAAGTCAGTAATCAATAGACGGTCTCCTATCATCCTTCTGGAATTTATCGGGTAGATTATGCCTAGCGTACATTATGCCTGGCATCCTTTATGCCCAACGTCCATTATGCCTATCGTACATTATGCCTAACGTCGTGTACCCGGTTTTCACCACAATTTGCGTCCTTTGCGTGAGAGGAATCACCATAATTCAAGCATTTAGCAGTCATATAGCAATGTTTTGTCCCGAAATTTCTACCAGTCTTCCTGAAGTGTTCCAACTTCAGTTCCAACTTCACTCGGACATGGAGCATAAGGCTAGCATTTTCTAAGAATTTAAGGTTGTCTAGACTAGAAGCAAATATTATAAATTAAGAATATGGTTCACTTCCAGAATTCCCATATGTTTCTGAAAAAACACATAAGTAATACCCTCTCCCGGTGAGAAAGGTGACTAAAAACATTAGTGGCCTTATTATTTAAGCGTGTAATCAATTCATAAGTTTAGTCAAATAAAAGGTGTGGCAACCCGAGCAAAGTCTGAGATCAAATGGAAATCTAAATTTAATGTTGTGATTTCGCTGATAATGATTACTCAGGTTGCTGTCGTTTTGGTCGTTTTAACGGTTGGTTAAAATATCAAAATTGAGCAAATGTACAGCAAAATGAAAACAAAATTGGGTATCAAATTTGTGAATTAATCATGTTTTGTTGTTTTTGACATCATCCACATTCAGAGGGCCAGTCACTTTCGAATGTATGCTCGGTGCTCGATAGTTCCCGCGATTAATGTGTTGAGATGCTTCAAATGTGGAGAATTTGGGCACAAGAGCATGGATTGCAAAAATTGTGAGAGATGCTCTAGGTGCAGCCAAACAACACAAAACGTCGGAGTGTACGTCAACTGTATTGAAATGTATTAATTGTTTGAAAATGAATAAAGACCGTAAAATGAACCTGGACGTCAACCATGCCGCATTTAGCTCGGAATGTTAGCTTTATAAAAGACTTTTTGTTCAGAAGAAAAGCAGCTTGCGTTTCAATAAATAGCAACCAAGTTCCAGGAATGTGATTTTTTGTATTTGAATATTGCGGGGTTGTCAACAAACTACGTAGTATTACGTCATTTTTTTTTTTTTTTTTTTCTTTATTTTAGAGATTTTTAGCCTGAGGCTAGTTCATCTCTTCAGTATTACGTCAGATTGTTGAGGAAAAACGTCCTCTTTTAGTTTGATTATCTGAAACTCATATAGGGGAATTTACGTA